TCTTCACTCAGGGGGAGGAGAGAAGGGCCTCTCCCCTTAAGCCAAGTTAGGGTGGTTCTCACAGCAAACCTAGAAAGGGGGATTATTTGGCAGGTGGGAATATTGACATCTCCCCCATGAGACTGGTGCCTTCTTCTTGCCCAGAGAGTTCTGAGGGTGCAAGGCTGGCTGAAGCTGCCTGAGAAGGCAGGTGAAGACTTCGGGCAGCAGGGGAACAGGCCAGGACTTCCAGAGTTTGATAGAATAAGCATGTCTGAGCAGACCCCCTGGAAGGCATTCATGCTTTAGTTGTCTTCGAACAGTCACACTCAGAGTGAGTGTAAAGGCAGTTGTGGGAGGAAAATAGAAACCAGTTATATTAACGGTTGTGGAGTGCTGATCCAGGACTAGGGTACATGGAGTATTTTATTAATCCTCACAACGACCCTAAGAAGTCGTACTTTCAGTCCTGTTTCATGGAAGGAAAATGGAGGCATGGAGAAGTTGCCGTTTGCCCAAGATCATAGAGTTACCATGGTTATGACTGGTGCTGAAAGAAAGATCCTTGTATCTATTGGCTTGGTTTGGATACCATTCATCTGTTGATGAGACCCAAATTTACTACCTCTAGTTCCTATCTCCCTCTCTCCTGAACTCAAGGCTTGTATATCCAACTGCTTATTTGATATCCCCATTTGAGTATTTAATAAGCAACGGAAAACCAATACAGTTATGCATCACATAACAACATTTTAGTCAATGAGAGATCACATATACGACGGTGGTCCCATAAGATTAGTTTATAAGATTACCATAGGTGTGCACTAGGCTATACCATCTAAGTTTGTGTAAGCACACTCTATGATGTTTGCACAATGATGAAATAACCTAATGACACATTTCTCAGAACATATCCCTGTCGTTAAGTGATGCATGACTATATAAACAAAATGAAAATTCTCGATTGTAACCTGGTGCTGTCTCATTCTCCCTATCTCATTTGCTTAAGCAATGAGGACATTTTTAAGGAAAGCAGATCCTTTCCCTCCCCCTCCCTTATCCAATACACCCAACTCACGTAGAACTTGAATCCATTGATTTCTTTCCTTTTCAACTCCACCTTCTTAGTCCAGGCCACCATTAGCTCCCGCCTTTATTCTTCCCTCTTCCGTCCACCCTCCACAGTGGACTTTATTGGTCTTGTATTTCTCTGAGAACAAAAGTCAGACTGTACCGTGGAGCCCTGCAAGGCCTGGCTTCTCTTTCCCTCATGCTCTTCCCATTTCCCCTGGACTTGAGCAGCACCAGCCTCCTTTCTGTTCCTCAGGAGCCCTGCCATTTCCACTTGCTGCCCTCTCTGCCTAGCATGCTCTTTTCCCATCATTTTGTGTGGCTAGATCCTCCTTGTCCCTTAGATCTCAACTCAAAAGTTAACTTCTCTTTGCTACTCCTAGTTACTCCATCTCTTTTCCCTGTTATTTTTTTCATAGCCCTTCATGCAATTGGTAAATATTTTGTGCATTATTTTTTGAGTTGTTTTCGGATGTCTTTATCTCCACCCCTCCCCCCAGTTAGGGTGTAAACTGCCTGAAGAAGGGACCTCGCTTATCTTCTTGTTCATCACTGTATTCCTGGAATCTAGAATACTGCTTCATAGGTACTCAGCAAGTACTTGTTAAATAAGTGAATGAATATTTCAGTAAATATTTGTTGTATGAAAGAAGAGAGAACCAGGTGTCAGAAGCCATGTACTGGATATGGTGAATTTTTAACCTAGTGGGAGTGTGTTGTGGAGCCAAAGCACACAGTTATCATAGTTAGGACAATCGTCTCTTTTGGAGACATTTAAAAAGTACCGCCTCTCTCTCGCACTTACTCTTGTATTCAAACAATATTTGTTATTTTCTCATGTTCTAGGCACTAGGTTAGTGGCCAGGGGTACAATGAAATAGGCACAGTCTCTGTCCTCAACGCTCATGGTCTAGCAGTCCCCACTGGACATGAGTAGGGAAAGGGGGAGGGGCAGGGATTGGGGCAAGTCTCCAGGAACCCCCATAATACTCCATAATATCTCGAGGAAGTTGAAGTCTGAGTTTTTTCATCTTAAATACAATTTGTAAGAAAAAACACAGAAAGAATCTCTAAGGAGAGCAAAATGCCCACCCTTTGAAGATAAGAATTACGAACGAAAAATTGGAGCAGAGTTTCATATAGAGCTCTGTTGGCTGTTGGTGTGAATGTGTCACTTTTCTAATGTGAAAGATACAAGATGCCAATATTAAAGCTGAAAGTTAAAGCTCAAGATGCTTTCAGCCTTTTAGAAATTACAATAGCCCTATTACTCACTACTCCTGTCCATATTAACTTCTAATGCAAGGGAATGTGGAACAATGCAGAAAGCAGTGGAAAAGTTGGAATTGGAAAACCTGAGTGAGAATCCTTGCTCTGTTCTCCCCTAGTTTGTTAGCCTTAAGGATGTTGCTTAATCTTTTCCAGTCCCAGTTGACTCGTCTAGGTATTGGAGATGAAAAAGAATTTATCTCATGACATTGTGTTAGATTAAATTAGCTAATCCATGTAAAGTGCTCAGCATAGTGCCTGTCATCTAGCACACTGAATAATGTTAGCTAATATTAATATGATTTGGGGGAAAAATTACCACAGTACGACCTAAGTCATGGGATTGTTATGAGGAGTAAATGTGTGTACAGCGTGTGTGTAAATACCTACTGCCGTGCTTAGAGCATGGTAAGACTCTATAAATGGTTGCTGAGTAGGCTCTGTTGTTGTTAGTGCCATCAAGTTGATTCTGACTCCTGGCAACCCTGTGTCCAGCAGAGTGAAGCGCTGGTCTTTCATTCTCTGCCCTTTCCATCGCACAATGCTCCCCTGCTATTCGTAGGATTTTCATGGCCAATTTTTTTGGAAGTGGGTGGCCAGGTCCTTCTTCCTAGTCTGTCTTGGTCTGGAAGCTCCACTGAAACCTGTCCATCATGGGTGACCCACTGGTATTTGAAATACTAGTGGCATAGCTTTCAGCATCACAGCAACACGCAGCTGCCACAGTATGACAACCAACAGACGAGGGATGTGGTTCCCTGCCTGGGAAAGGAACCCAGGCAGCTGTAGTGAGAGCTCCCAATCTTACCCACTAGATCACCAGGGCTGGCTGTCAAATAGGCTAATGTATTGCAAAAGCTACAAAGTATAGATTGCTATAAGAATGCCTCTGCTTCTTATTTTGTTATTTATTTTTTCAACAGAAATACGCTGAGTAATTAAAAGCCTACCAATGAGGTATAATATTTAGAATATTCAGCAATCAGTAGGGCGTGGGTGCTGACAGCAGCTCCAGAGTAGGATTCCAAGGGTCCCCACTCTGCCAAGCATTATCCCTTTAGTCAGAAATTGTGAAGAGGTCTTGGAGGAGTCCCAGGAGGGACCAGAGAAGAGGAAATAGGGGTGTGGGGTGGCAGGGTTTGCATAGGGTAGCAGGTGCTTTCCAACAAGTACAAAACAATTTTGCCATTTTAATATCTGGGTCGGCTGTGTTGGTGCCAATCATCTGAAGCAGCTCTACCCCTAAAACTAAGCTGTACATAAACCAGAGTTGAGAGGCCGGCCCAGTGGCGCAGCGGTTAAGTTCGCACATTCCACTTCTCAGCGGCCCGGGGTTCACCGGTTCGGATCCCGGGTGCAGATATGGCACCGCTTGGCAAAAGCCATACTGTGGTAGGCATCCCACATATAACGTAGAAGAAGATGGGCATGGATGTTAGCTCAGGGCCAGTCTTCCTCAGCAAAAAGAGGAGGATTGGCAGTAGTTAGGTCAGAGCTAATCTTCCTCAAAAAATCCCCCCAAAAAACCAGAGTTGAAAGCAGAGAGAATATATCCTATGTACACTGTTGTACCATTCGCTTCTCATCCTAAAAACGTGAACAAGGGTTTGTTTGCTTGAAAATCATCCTCTGTCAATAAGCCGCATCAAAGACAAGACTATGGGAGCTCAGCTTGAGAGGAGGTGCTAGTGTTATATTAGGGTCTGTAAAGGAAGGGCTGTTTTTGGAAATCTGTGGGTGAGTTGCCAACTGCATGAGTCCCACTGTTGCTGCTCCTGATAATGCATTATTAGTCATCTTTATTCCAACAAAATCCTCATCCTTCTCAATAGATTTAATGCTGAATTTAAAATTCACTCTAGTAATAATATTTACAAGTGGTAAATGAATTGAGCCTTAACAGTCCTCTGTGTAATGCCTTTAAAATCAGTACTGACACACTAGATAGCGTGAAAATTTGGTGGTCTCCGTGGCTTTGGAGTTTGGAAATTACAGTGATGAGGAGAAATGGAGGATGGATCACATGTTTCTGTCCTTTTCCAAGTGAAAGAAGTTTGAAGAGGCTGTGTAAGCTGATTAGCGCAAAGGACTCCCACGATCCACCTGCTGGGTATCTTATGTGAAAGCACTTCTTATAAGGAGTATTAGCCAGGGTTCTCTCTCTCGAGAGAACCAACAGGATGTCTCTATGTCTATGTCTATCTCTGTCTCTGTCTCTGTTTCTGTCTCCATCTCTCTAATCTTTATATTGATGTTTAAATTTATCTATCTAGAGATGTATTTTAAGGAATTGGCTCATGCAGTTGGGGAGACTTGACGAGCCCCAATCTGATGAGCTAGGCCAGCAGGCTAGAGACCCAGGGAAGAGTTGCAGTTCTGGTCCAAAGACCATCTGCCGGCAGAATTCCTTCTTGCATGGGTGAAATCAGCCTTTGTTCTATTCAGGCCTACAACTGATTGGATGAGGCCCACCTGCATTATGGAGGGCAATCTGCTTTACCCAAAGTCCACTGGTTTAAATGCTCATCTCATCCAAAAAGTACCTTCACAGGAACATCTAGTATAATGTTTGACCAAATATCTGGGCACCGTGGCCCAGCCAAGCTGACACATAAAATTAACCATCACATAAGGTAATGTGAAGAATTATTGATTTTTTGTTGTTATTTATCTATTTCCAGGAGGAAGCTGCACAGATGTTGAAACGACTACTACAGGATGAGATGTTAAACTGGAAAGAAAACTTACAGACCTACAGGAACACAAGGACAGTAACATCTTTGTATTCTCACAACCCAGAGATGTAAAATGTGTGTGTAAGATGGAGATAGAGCTTCTGCATTTTCAAAATGCTCAGATGCCTGCATGTGAAAGGCAGAGAGGAGAACCGGGACTCTCAGAGGAGATGAATTTTGACTCCAGACTGACTGGAACCATCAGGAACTGGTGACTTGTGACCACAGCTCGTCCCGAGCAGACTCACTGCTGCCTCTGTGGTGAGCCTATTTTCAAAGCCCCACAGTGGCCCCTTGTAAACTTTTCTCTTTTCCCTCAAGCCCTGACCCCTCCAGTCCACTTGAGCTCCCACTGTGTGGAGACAAAAGGCCACCTATTCTGTAGCATCCCCCTCAAAACACCTCTATTTTCAGCCCTTCTTCCTCCCTATTTTAATGAGCAGGTTTTCTGGATTTTTCCCGAGGTCAGTTTCCCTGCTTGTGTGCTTGGCCCCATCCTTTCCACCCCCCCAGGACCTTACTCATTTGGTGAAAATACAACTTTTTAGAAATAAATATGTAACGTTCTCTGCACTTAATATTTTATGGTAATTAGGCTTTTTAATCCCAATGTCTGCTATGCTAGGCTGACAGGATTTTTATGTAAACTAGCTGATTTATATATATGTAAGTCCTATATATGTATATGAAAATTACATTGGTATGTTTAGACTAGTACAGCAGTGAGGATGACAGAGAGAAAAGCAGGCGTATGAAAATGCAGAACAATAGATTAAACTGTGAAGCCTTTGTAGGTGGACAGCCTGAGCATGCTTTGCTAATTGTTTTGAATCCTCAATACCCTGTAGTGCAGAAAGGGTGGGGCAAGGGGCCCAGAATCACACATGTATCATGCCTTAAAGGCAAGCTGCAGACAAAAGCTGTGTTGATGCCATTACTAGAACTCCTCCCTGCCATGTCCCCTACCCCCACTGCTGGGCCCCCTAACTTGTTTATTTCTATTGAAGTATAACATACATTAAATAATTTTCCCCTTTTAAATGCACAGTTTGATAAGTTTTAAAATATGCATACTTCTATGTGACCACCAGCACAATCAAGATACAGTTTTGATTTCATCACCCAAAAAGTCCTCTCTTGCTCCTTTGCATTCAAGGTCTGCTCCTCCCAATCCCAGGAATCCATCAGGTTGTTGTCTCTGAGCATTATGGACTGCGTGTTCATGTCGCCCCAATTAATATGTTGAAACCCTAACTCCCAACAGAGTGGTATTAGGAGATGGGGCTTTTGGGAGATAATTAGGTCATGAGGATGGGGCCCCCATGATGGAGATTAGTGCCCTTATAAGAAGAGGAAGACAGCTAGCTCTCTGCTGTCTCGGCCATGTGAGGATACAGCAAGATGTCCTCTGCCAGCCAGGAAGAGAGCCCTCAGCAGATATTAGATCTGCCCGTGCCTTGATCTTGGACTTTCTAGCCTCCAGAACTGTGAGAAACAAATGTTTACTGATTAAGCCACCCAGTCTATGGTATTTTTTTGTTATAGCATCCCAAGCAGACTAAGACGCTTAGTATAGACCAGTTTTGCCTGTTCTAGTATAGATTCACAAATTAGTTTTGACTGTTTATACAAATGGTACATTCGATATAAACTCTTTATTGTCTGGATTCTTTTCCTCAACCTAATATTTTAAAAATTCTTCTATGTTATTACATGTATCAGTGTTTCTTCCTTTTTATTTGTTAGTGGTATTTTATTGTATAAATACACCACAATCTGTCACATTTGGGTTGTTGCCAGTGTTTGGTTATTATGAATAAAACTACTATAACATTCGTGTGTGTGGACATATATTTTAATTTCTCTTGGTACATATTCAGGAGTGAGATGGTGAGTTATGCTTAACTTTTTAAGAAATTACCAAACTGTTTTCCACCAGCAATGTTGCTTCATATCTTCACCAATACTTGGTATTGTCAATCTTTTAAATTTTATCCTCTCTAATAGAAATGCAGTTATGTTTTATTTTGGTTTTAACTTTTTGTATTACCCTAATGACTAGTGAAGCTGCTTGTCTTTTCATGAGTTTATTGGTATTTCATATACCTTTTGTGAAGTGTCTGTTTAAATCGTTGCCCATTTTTTACTAGGTGTTTATCTTATTATTCAGTTGTAAGAATTCTTTGTATGTTCTGAATACAAGTACTTGGTCAGGTATATTCATTGAAAATATTTTATCCCAATCTGTGGTTTGTCTTTGCGTTTTCTAAATATTGTCTTTTGAAGAGCAGAGGTTTGTAATTTTGTTAAAGTCAGATTTTGAAAGTTTTGTTGTAGTGTGTCCTTCTGTGTTCTACCTAAGAAATCTTTACCTGTTTCCAAGGTTGTGAGGATTTTCTTTTATACTTTCTTATAGAAGTTTTATAGTTGTAGCTTTTTTGTTTAAGTCTCATCTATTTAGACCTAACTTTTATTTAGAGCTGTGAATTAAAAATTGAGGTTAACTTTTTGTGTATGAATATTCAATTGTCCAACACCACATACTGAAAAGATTATTCCTATGGAATTCTCTTGGTATTTTCAGCAAAAATCAATGGACCACTTAAGTTTGCATCTATTTCTGAACTCTCTATTCTGTTCCATTGATTTCTGTGTCTATCTTCACACTGATATCACACTGTCTTGGTTACTGCAGCTTTAGAGTAAGTTTCGAAATTAGGTGGTGCAAATTCTCCAACTATGTTCTTTTTTCAAAATAGTTTTGGCAATTCCGTGTCATTTGTATTTACAGATAAACTGTAGAATTGACTGTCAATCTTTAAGAAAGTGTCTGCTGGGATTTCAATCGGGTAGAATTGATACCTCAACAATATTGAGTCTTTTAATCTATGAATGTGGCTCTTCACTAATTTAACTCTTCTTTAATTTCTCTCATCAATATTTTGCATTTTCAAGCCACAGATCTTACATGTATTTATTATTAAATTTGTTATTAATTAGCTTATATTCTTTCATGCTATTATAAATGGCTTATTTTTGAAGTTTAGTTTCTGTGTGTTTGTTGCTTATACGTGTAATACAATTTGTATATTGGCCTTGTATATACAACCTTGCTGATTCCATTCATTTATTAGTTCTATCAGTTTTTTTTTTTTTAAAGATTTTATTTTTTCCTTTTTCTCCCCAAAGCCCCCCGGTACATAGTTGTGTATTCTTCGTTGTGGGTTCTTCTAGGTGTGGCATGTGGGACGCTGCCTTAGCGTGGTCCGATGAGCAGTGCCGTGTCCGCGCCCAGGATTCGAACCAACGAAACACTGGGCCGCCTGCAGCGGAGCGCGCGAACTTAACCACTCGGCCACGGGGCCAGCCCCTATCAGTTTTTTTTTTTTTAAGATTCCTTAGGGTTCCCTATGTATTATTCCTGCTAAAAATCAGCTCCACATCCCTGTTGTTTTCTTTGAGAGCTGGACTATGATCCCATTTCTTTGAATTTGTTGTCTCTCCTTCCATCCTGTGTGTCTAGACTTTGGCTCATTTTCTTTTAGACTCTGACCTCACCAGTTCCTCTGATCTTGGAGTCTCTAATGATCTTGGAGGAAATGCCTTACTTTCACTCCAGCTCTAGCACTAACCTCAAGGAACCTGACTTGCTGCCTAGTCAGTCCTGGAAGGGGACCTTAGGATCATGACCCATGAAAAAGGTTGAATATGGAAGATGGTTATAGCGTAATTCATAATGAAAACAATTAAAGGACAAAATGACTGGACAGAGACAAGCGCTGTTCACCAAATACAGTTTACTAAGAGTTTCAGCAATGAGCGATGAAGTAGGATTGAGATGTAGTGCTGATAGAGCTATCTATGGTCGTATTACAAACAGTTCTAAATCCTCGGTGCATTCTACGATAAGAATCGGTTCGCACTCACACAGGGTAGACTGGCTGACCTGTGCTAGCTTTGGCTAGTGCAGCTGGGGTGGTGCAGATCTGTTCCATGTCTCCCATCTTCCAACAAGCTAGCCTGGGCATGTTCTCATGGTGATAACAGAGGCACAAGAGAGAGAAGCCCCAGTGTGCAATGCCATTTCAAGCCTCAGCTTGTGTTAGTCTGCTAACATCCTATTGAGTAACGACAGTTACACACACAGTTAAGCCCAAGGTCAAGGGGTATCACAGCACCCTGCTCACTATGCAGGACACTTTGAAGGCAAAGGGTGTGGGTGCAGGGAGGGGTTAATAATGGAGCCATAGGAATCTACTACCTTGCCTGAAACCCACTGAGTATTGTTTGTAGATACATACGACTATGCTCTACATGTGGTTGAGTAACCTACATGCAACTTTCATTCAATGGTATGCATTCAGATATTTTCAAAAAATCAGGAGCAAATACTGCTTGTTTAATGAAGTTCTGATTTAGTCCCTTAAGATGTTATTTTAGATATCTGGAATTGGTAAACATAATTGACAGTTACTTACCATTTTGACACCCAGAGCTACCAAACCAAACACCTTCCACAGAGACATTGGAGTAGTGAAGTAAGTCCATATGTGAAGTGCTTAGCGCACTGTTTGATGTATTAGTATATTGTTCAGTAAGCGCTGGTTATCTGGATTCTTATTGTTTTCTGAAACTTAAATCTTATCTTGGCACTTCCCTGCTAATACATCCCAGTGGCTCCACCTTGCCTAAAACACTAGTTCTCAATCTTTAGTTTGCCTAAGAATCACCTAGGCAGCTTGATAAGCAGGCACAATTCTGCACTTCCTTCCTATTGGTTCTGATTCAATAGGTCTGGAATGGGGCTCAGAAATCTTTATTTCTTAAAGTGCACAGATAATCCTGATGCAAGGGGTACTTGCACCACATTTTCAGGCACACGGACCCACAGGAAACACAGTGCAGTCTCCTTAGCACACACACAGACCCCTCTTCTGAAGCTTTATCTCCACCACATAGAGCTTCAGCGTTTACTAAATGAATGAAAGGTGGGAATGACATGGCTATTCTTTGGTTTCTGAAGAGGTTCTCTTTCAAGTTATCTTAAGCAAACGAGTGCCTTCTAAATTTTAAGCGTCGATAGGAAAGGGCAAATTGTCTGTTTTTTTCTTGTGTAGGTGTATGAGATGTTGTCAGTCCCATTGCCCTTCATGCCTCCAACCTGTCTTCTCTGCATCACAGAAAACTACATTTCCCAGGATCCCTTGTCCTCTGGTTTTGTGAAGCTTTAGCCAATGGAAAACAGTGGTGGAAGATTAGAGGATGGAAAGAGGAGAATAGCCAGGTATTTCTCCTCCTTTTCTTTGGCTCCCCCCACCAAATGTGGCATCTCTGCCACCTGCTGTGTCTCTTCCATGGTCCCAGCTCTTACCAGGCAGTTCCCACTGTACTTCCCTACTCTTGGACTCCAGAATACCACATCATCCCAATGCTCCTCCAGCCCATGTGCTGGTATGAATTTTTGTTATCAATAATGTTAGGGTCATTTTATGTGTCAACTTCCCTAGGCTATAGTACACAGTTATTTATCTAGGTGTTGCTGTGAAAGTATTTTGTAGATGTGATTAATATCTATAATCAGTTGACTTTAAGTAAAGAAGATGATTATCAATAACGTGGGTGGGCCTGATTCAATCAGTTGAAAGGCCTTAAGAGCAGAACTGAGGTTTCCCTGAGGAAGAAGAAATTTTCCTGTGAACTGCAGCTTCACCTCCCACTCAAGAGTGTTCAAGCTACCCTTTCTGATAGTCTGCATGACTGATTTCAGACTTGCCTAGCCAGCCTCCACAATCACATGAGCTAATTCCTTACAATGTCTCTCTCTATATAATATCTATCTCGATCTCTCTCTCTGTGTAATATACTGGTTCTGTTTCTCTGGTGGAACCCTGACTGATACAGATCATCTCTGGATTATCTTTCCACTCTCTGTTTGTATTTTCAGCTCTTCCGTCAACCATGTGATCAATTCCCTGTATTCAATTCCCTCTGTGTAAAAGAATGAGTTCTCTTTCCCAGCTGAGGCTTCACTGGTGCAGCATATTTGAAAAGAGCTTTTTCAAGGACGTTGTTTAGACATTATGTCAATATTACCTTTTAAAAATGGATATGTGTATGTAGTTAATGCTTGAGGAGAATTTTATGATTTTTTAAGCACTGATGTAAATTATATCATGTAACCATCTTTCCCTATTTGTATCCCAGTGAGCTTCATATCATAATGCTGAATTTCAATGAAGACAAAGAATCTCAGAGGTTAAATAATTTGACCCATGTCATCTATCTGGGAGGTGGAGGAGTTGTGGCTTCAGCCCTGCCCTGACATCAAATCATGTACAGTTTCCAACATGCCTTGTGGTCACATAAATGTTGGTCACATGGATGGCCACAGAGTGTGGTATTTGAGGACACAGACTATCTATGTGGATGTGGGCAAGTTATTTACATTATCTGTGCCTGATTTTCATACCTACAAAGTAATAGTAGAATCCAGTTCATAGGTAGATTTTAAGGACTAGAGGAGACAATGTATACAGTGCTAGAAAAATACTTGGCAGTGGCACATAATAGCTCCACAAGAAAAATTAGCTATTTTAACCGTAGGAATATATGTAATTTGATACTACCCAGGATTTGCACTGAAAATATGTTAGATGAAAGGTTTTTATTAGCTTTGTGTGGTCAGTGGGATGGTAGCTGTCCGTGGACAGTTTGTTACCACTTTCTAACGAGATAAAATTTAGAAACTTTCATAGTAATTTAA